TTCATTTTTATGTTCAAGACATAGTAAGTGGCCCCAATCAAACTGTCTGGGAAGTGGCAAGATCCAATATCACTTCCACTTCGCCGACATTATTCGGCCTAGTTAGAGTCATTGATGAGCAAATGACAGCCAAGCCCGATGCCAATTCAAAGAAACTCGGACAGGTTCAGGGCCAAATTACTTTCGCAGACTTCAAAGAAGTAGCACCGCTTATGAACTTCAACGTTGTATTCAAGTCGGGCATTTACAATGGGAGCACAATTTGGTTGTTGGGAAGAAATCCTATATCCCAAACATATCGTGAATATGCCATTGTTGGTGGCACTGGTATTTTCCGAATTGCACGAGGATATGCCATTACGAGTATTTATTCCGATGATTCTGCGGGACATTTTGTTTTGGAATATACTCTTTATGTTTATGAGGTATTTGGCAAATCATCTCAGCCCTCCAACATGTAACCATAGTTACAATCCTCTACTACCGAATAATGAAATAAAAGGTTTTGCAATGGGATCGATGCCGTGCAATGCCCCATTCCCCCATTCGGTGGGTTCTTTTCTTCTTGTTATGTTGTCCTACGCTTAGGATTTGGCTATATGAATAAGAAATCTTTCGTGTGTTTGTTGAATTATCTCTGAAAAATTCAATTTGCAAATACATGCATCACTTTTGACTATTGGAATTTTGTCAATTAATGTATCATAGAATTTCAATACGTGACGGAGTAGGTTGAGAAGATTGCCTAGCTTGAAGATGGAATAGTCACATAAAATTAGTTACATAAACAAAAAAAAGAAGATAAATTGTGTCTAACAATCTTGTTTCTCCTGTGCCTCGTCTTAATCAAGAAAAATTTGACCATTGGAGTAATATAATGAAATTGTGTCATGAAAACTCAAGATTTATGGAGTGTTGGAGTGCAACCAAGAAATCAAATTACCTGAAGTACAAAGAGACTTTCAGAAGTAAAGGAAACAAAAAGGCAAAAAGACACCCTTCCAAATTATCAATGAAGGAATGCACAGCATGCTTGAACGTGAATTACGGATCAAGAATTCTTACTTGAAAGGATGAATTTCAATATCTTTGTATGGTTGAATCATATTACATCTCAAAACTCCAAAATCTACATTTTCTGCACTTCAAATGGCCTCAATCCCGATCAAAATGTGAAGGGATATTAGTCACAATCTAAATGCCTCATATTGTGAGCTTTCATAACAAAATAGTAATTTTATGGCCTTTCCAATTTTGGTCCATTTTTACATACGATTTTTCCCCATATTTTTCTTCTCTTTTTCTTTAAATAATCATTGTTACATGGGGTTAATGGAGGTTATAAGGAATTACTCTCTTCGTCCCAATTATATAAGCTTGTTTCGTTATTCACACGGATGAAAAAAGCTTCTTTAATGTCATTGAAAAATTAATTTTTGTCAAGATCTTTCCTAATTTACCTCTATTTAATTTTCAGTATGCAAAACTAAATAAAGAAGTGGGAAATGTGTGTATTTGGATGATTTCAAGAAATTGGCATATTAAGTAGGAAAAATTTAATAAGGGTATATTGGTAAAAAAAAAACACAACAAAATATTCTACATTAGGAAACATGCCTATATATTTGGGACGAGAGAAAAAGGAAGCTCGATATATATAATTGGGACGGAGGGATATAAGTTTGAGCCCCCGTTTGGGCTACCTTTTTATCTCATTAAAATAAAAATTATGACCGTTATCCATTACATCAACATTTAAATTCAAATTTTCTATCTCTTGTGTAGGCCCCAACAACGGCTATATTTTTCATTCTCATTCTATAAAAAGGTGACTCAAACAGGGCCTGAATTTCAAGTTCAACCCACTCCCTCGAACAATTTTGATGTCTTGTGGCCACAACTCATATTTTCTAACATCTCCAACTCGTATATGATGGGCTTAATCTGAACGACAATTGACTATCAAAGTTAGATCCTTCTTAAGGTCTATGTCACAAAAATTCATATGGCAAATAGATCGTGCTACCAACGTGTATATATTAGACCTCATGGTACTATAAATCTATTAGGGATATATAGTAGCTCGATTAGAAGAACATTACATCTTGATATACCTCAAACTCATTTTTCAACAATAATTCAAGTATTTTTGATCCCTAGAATATTTATGGAACATACTTGTAACGACCCGGGTCCCACTTAACGGGCTGTCCTGGCCGTTAGATCGACGACGTACTGTCCTCACTGTACCAACATGGGTCTTTTCAGCATGCTTTGTCCTCACTCGCACGCTCCCCGAGAAAACTTCCCAGGGGGGTCACCCATCATAGAATTGCTCCAAGTACCTATCAAATCTCTTAAACTTTCTTGGTCTGGGGTATTACAATACTTAAACCTCATAGCCAATCATTGTATTCACAATTATGTCCTATAACCTAAATGGTTAAACACAATTATTCGGCTTGTGAATACAAATATAAATACGGGTCAACATAGTTTTTATTTTCTACTTGAATCCTTCAACTTTAAATTAGCTGCTTTCCCACATCAAACCGAATCAATCATACTCAATGGTAATACACTAAAGTAGCGATGCTAAAATAAAATCTCAAATATGAGATTATATAAATCACAAGGTCTCACACAATGAGGAAGCAAAGATCCATTTGCTCATTTACCCAATATGGATCGTAAAAGCACACGTGGTATGAAACACATGTTACGATGTTTTCTCCCTTTCTTAAGACTTATGTCATATTTTTTATAAGTAAATAACACCGTAAAGATCCTTATTCAGGTATTCTTCAATATATAACTTGAGTTCTTCTTATGTTTATTCATTCAGATAATCTCAAATCGAGAACTCAATCTAGTTACTAAATAGGTTTAATGGATAGTGAAATCAATTTCGATTATTTGTTGTAATCTCATCTGATATCTCATCAAGGTGGTCAGATCATTTACACAACATGATCACTTTGTCACATCTCAGCACACCTCTAAGTGTTTTGAGGTGATTGTTCGTGTGAGGAAACAAATCTCAATCGGTTCAACATACTTTATACGTGCACGAAATCATTATCTCATAATCTCATCAATAGATTTTACATGAACTTAAAATTGTTCATCTATAGGCACACAAAACTCAATCAAGAGTTTTCTGACACACGTTCGTTCGCTTAGCAAATCTCTAATTAGTCTTCTCTGGTGTCGGCCACAGTCCAAGAAGTAGTCTTTTCCCATTTTCTAGCAAGAAGAAGTAGGGATACGGCATCCAACCAAGTCTTTGACCAAGGAACAGGAGAATTCCCACTACAGCTGGCAGGCGGGTAAGGCATTCCATACATCTCTTTTATCTGGAACAGTTAGAGCTAAGCCCTTCTTAAGGACTTCTTACAGGAGCACAGGAGAACAACCTATATCAAGGATGGTAGTTGACTAGCACTCAAAAGAAGGAACTGATGGGATGAGTTCAATGATTGACTAGTCTAGAGAATCTCCGGAGAGCTATTACTAAAGATTCAAGAAAGAATTTCCTAATCTCAAGTGAAGTCAAAAAGAGCTATTATCCACTGGTCGAGGAAGAAAGCTGGGATTCTTGCCTTCCTACCACGAATGGGCTGTTCTGACTTCTTTGACCCCCGCCACGGGGCAAGTCAGTTTCCTTGGTCATTCAAGCTCTAAGCGCCCTGGAATTCAATGATACCGTGGGCAAGGTAAGGAAAGTAGGGGCCTTCTAAGCCCAGCCCTTCTTTGACATAAAACAAACTGTTTTTCCATGACAACAACACACACACACATTGCTAATGTCTCTCACAAGAACCATTGAGTATTTGGCTCCATTGTGATACTTAAAATCCTCAACACATGAGATACTTGTATAATTATCATGTATATCATATTCTCAACTAGTATTATTAGATGCCCAATACATCTATACCAAACATTTTCTTCAATTGTCAAAATATATACTACAAGATATGCTTCTTGCCACTCTATATAGTAAGTTTGTACATGTTTAATAAATATTGTGCTTGACTAACTCTCATCCTTAACTGACATTTGCATATAGGGATGACAAAAAAATCCGTTCAACCCAAAATTCGTGTGGCCCAGCCCCGAACTGGGCGCGAATTACCCCGTCTAATCGGGTAAACGGGGTGAGGGTCATTGCCTCGAAACTAGTACGGAAATTATAGTCTCTGTCCCGCTACTCGTCCCGTTTAAAGTTAATTTTAAATTTAAGTTTTTTATCAAACAAAAATAATAGATTTATCATATTTTTATAGAGAACGTAAGATGATCTAACAAATTGGTAAAAAAAAAATAATATTTACTAAATAAAGACATAAAAAATAAAAGAAAAAAATAAATAAATGGGGCGATAAAATATAAATAAAGTTTTACGTGTAATAATATACATTGGGGTCCTCCTCATTTTCGTGACATTTGAAATAAATAAAAACATATTATGATAAGTATTTATTCATTATATATAATGAATTGGAATATATTATAGATAATACAAAATTCGAAGAGCAAAAAGGAATATCCAAATGACACCAGGATAGCAAGTGTGCATGTGCGCTCATTCTTCGGTATTCTGTTCTCGCAACTTTACATGCTCCTTTCATTGCATTGTGCTTGTAACATAATCCAGAAGCCAACGTGAGAAAAGAGGATATTGAAATTTATGTACTCAATGTTCACGTGTTACATTCTTCAGGACCTTTGTTGCAATTATTCTATTTGTCCTTACTTGTATCTGTTTCATAGTTTAGGACTTAGATGGGATATTAGCTTTCTCTTTCTGTTATGTTTGTTTCTTCAAGCCGTGTATATATCTTGGACGATGAGCTCATTTTCAGTTGAGAGTTTTGGAATAAAATTGAAATCTCTATTCTTCGAATCTCGATTTCTTCATGGTATCAGAGCTTGAAGATCTTGGAGATTGGATCTAATGCTTTAGATTATTAGTAATTTGAAATACTACAGTTCAAATGGCTGATGAATTCGAAGAAGGGAATGATTCAGAAATAAATGGAGATCAACGAAATGGAGGTCGTCGCGAAGCCGATGAAGGAGATCCACTTCAGTTGGGTAACTCTGATCACCCAGGGATGTCGCTTGTTACAGTGCCTCTTACTGGGAAGAATTTTCTGGCTTGGAGTAGGTCGATTAAAATTGCACTTGGTGCAAAAATGAAGCTAGGGTTCATCGATGGCACCATTGAAACTCCAGCTAAGAATTCACCTCAATTTGTGAAATGGAACAGAGTCAATTGCATGATAACTTCATGGATTTTAAATTCTATTTCAAAAGACATAGTTGAAGCCTTTTTATACACTACCTCTGCTAAAGAGTTATGGAATGAGTTAGAAGAGAGATTCGGAGGTTGTAATGGTCCACAACTATATCAGATACAAAGGGAAATCTGCTCAATAACACAAGGTAGTCAATCAGTATCTCAATACTACACTAAATTGAAAGGTCTATGGGATGAATTAACATATCTCATGCCTCTGCCTGAATGCATCTGTGGCTCAGCCAAGACAGTGTCAGATATAACTTCTTTTAACAGATTGATGCAATTTCTCATGGGATTAAGTGAAGAATATGAACAAATTCGAAGTCAAATTTTAGTTATGGAACCATTACCTACTGTTAACAAGGCTTATTCTATGATTCAAAGGATTGAAAAACAGAAAGAGGTACACATAGCTTTTGGTAATGAGACTGAAATGAGTGCTATGTTTTCTAGAACAAACAATCTGAGGAAAGATCAGGCAGCTAGACCTATAGGAGGAAAAAATTATGATATGGTAAAGAGGGAGAGACAATTATTATATTGTACTCACTGCAAAGTTAATGGTCATAACAAGGATGGTTGTTTCAAACTCATAGGATATCCAGAATGGTTCAAACAATTAAAAAATCAACATAGATCTGGACCTGTGCGTTTTTCAAACATGGCTGATACTCCACTGGGAACCACTCAGGAAATGAAAGATAAACTGCAGAACCATAATCTTTCAGAGATGATACAGCATGAACTGGTGAAGATGATGAAAAGAAACAGCAGAGATGACACGGTTAATCTTGCTCATTTTGGTGACTTCGCAGGTTCTGTTCTCAAACCCGAAACCATTCTGACTTTAAATGCTTCAAACCTTTTAGAAATAGGTTCTTGGATATTGGATACTGGAGCATCTAATCATATGTGTAGCAATTTTAATCTGTTCAAAACACCTGAACAATGCATATCTGCTATTCCAGTTTATCTTCCTGATGCATCCATCAATTTTGTTCAACACACTGGAGACATCATTATCCATCCTACTATTGTCTTAAAAGATGTTTTACACATTCCTACCTTCAAGTTCAATTTATTATCTGTCAGCAAGCTGACAAAACATTCGAGATTGAAACTCATTTTTTATGATAACCATTGCATTTTACAGGACCATCGGACTGATGAAATCAAAGCAGTTGGTAGACTTTTCAGGAATCTCTATATACTAGATCAAGCCTCTTTTTCTCCATCAATTCTAAATAAATTCAAAGTTTCCATTTGTAATTCTGTTTCTTCTCAATGTAATAATCTGCCTGTATCATCAAATCTTGTTATTGACAGATCCTTGAATCTTTGGCATAAGAGACTTGGCCATATTTCTACTAAAGCTATGAAACATTTAGATATCTTGAGTGCTTGTAATGATGATTGTCCTCCATATTGTGATATTTGTGCCATATCTAAACAAACAAGGTTACCTTTTCCAACCAGTTCGATTCAAACCACACTGATAGGGGAACTAATTCACATAGATCTATGGGGACCCTACAAGCAAGCTTCCATTTCCAGGGCACATTATTTTTTAACCATCGTTGATGACTTAAGTAGAGCCACTTGGACATTTCTTCTCAAACATAAGACTCAGGTGTTACAGACTTTCAAGGGCTTTCACCAATTTTTTCGAAATCAGTTCCACATTGATATTAAATCTGTTCGATCAGATAATGGCACAGAGTTTGTTAATTCTGATTTTCGAAAATTCCTTGTTGATAATGGTATAATACATCAAACGACTTGTGTTTATACACCTCAACAGAATGGTGTTGTAGAGAGGAAGCACAGACACTTATTACAAATTGCTAGAGCTCTCATGTTTCAAGCAAACTTGCCTAAATTTTTTTGGGGGGAATCTATTCTGATGGCCACATACATTATAAATCGTTTACCTACTCCAATTCTTAACTGGAAAACACCGTTTCAGATCCTCCATAACAAACCACCTTCCTATCAAAATCTCAAAGTTTTTGGAAGCCTTTGTTATGCTACTAACCCTCAGCCTTTCAAGGACAAGTTCTCTCCTAGAAGTTTTAGGTGTGTTATGGTGGGTTATAGTCATGGTACCAAAGGATTCAAGGTTTATGACCTTAAAAGACGACAAATTCTGGTTTCTCGAGACGTTGTCTTTCATGAGAATGTCTTTCCCTATAGAGTCAATTCCACTTCAGATCAGTTTTTACCTCTCCCTATTCCAATGTTTGAACATCATCAAGATGATCATATTCCTGCTGAAGCCTCTGTTTTTCCTGTTAGTCTGCCCCCTGCTGCTGATAATCACAATGATGGTTCCTCATTCTCTACAGACATGTTACCTGCGAGTACTTCTGGTCCTATTCAACCTTGCATCAGGAGGAGCACCAGGCCAAAAATTCCACCTATATGGATGCAAGATTTTGTGTCCAATCTCACCCAAACATCTGAAATTCCTACTTCTGCCTCCATTAATTCCAACACTGCCTCTTCAACCTTCACCCCTAACACCTTTCCATACTATACTTCACCTTGTTTTCACCCCACATATGTTGACTACCTGGCTAACATTACCACTATCCAAGAACCTACTTCATACAGGGATGCAAGCTCACAGAAGGAATGGTCTGAAGCTATGAGAGCCGAACTTGATGCTTTGGAAAAAAATGAGACTTGGGAGTTAACCTCTCTGCCTTCTGGAAAGAAGCCTATAGGTTGCAAATGGGTTTTTAAAGCAAAATTAAAGGCTGATGGCACTCTAGATAGATGTAAAGCGCGATTAGTTGCAAAGGGTTTTAATCAAATTCCTGGTATTGATTTTTTTGAAAGTTTCTCTCCCGTGGCCAAACCAGTAACTATCAGATTGTTTATTGCTATTGCTACTGGAAAAGTTTGGCCTATTTGTCAGCTTGACATTAACAATGCCTTCTTGCATGGTCTATTGGATGAAGAGGTATATATGTTACCACCTGAGGGTTATCACCAGGCTGCTATTGGGCAGGTTTGCAAGCTAAAAAAGTCTCTTTATGGTCTTAAACAAGCTAGCCGCCAATGGAATTCTGAATTAACTAAGCATCTCATCACTTTTGGTTTTCACCAGTCACAGCATGATCACTGCTTGTTTACTATGAGCACCTCATCTTCCTTCACTGCTCTTCTGATTTATGTCGATGATCTGCTCATTACTGGTAGTGATGAACAAGAAATTGGTCGTGTTAAGGCATCTTTGCACAAAGCTTTCACTATCAAGGATCTGAATTATGCTAAGTATTTTCTTGGTATTGAAATTGCACGATCCCCAGAGGGCACTTACCTAAATCAGAGGAAGTATGCTCTTGATATTATAACGGATGCTGGTCTACTGGGAGCTAAGTCTACTTCTACACCGTTACCTAAGGGTCAAAAGTTTTGTTCTTCTGATCCGGTTCTTTTTTCAGACCCTGAACGTTTTCGAAGACTCATTGGCCGTTTACTTTATCTTACTCTTACCAGACCTGATTTAACTTTTGGCGTGCAGCAATTGAGTCAGTTTATGCAAAGTCCTTCTGTTACTCACTGGAATTCTGCTTTACATATTTTACGTTATGTTAAGGGTACTTTGTCCAAAGGTTTGTTTTTCCCTGTCACTAATTCATTTGTTCTGGAAGCCTTCAGCGATGCAGATTGGGCGACTTGCCCAGACACTCGTCGTTCCTTAACTGGCTATTGCATTTTTCTTGGTGGTGCATTAGTTTCCTGGAAGACCAAGAAGCAAACCACCATCTCCAGAAGCTCTGCTGAGGCAGAATACAGAAGTTTGGGTGCCACTGTTTGTGAGTTGCAATGGATTCGTTACATTCTTCAGGATTTCAACATCACCATCTCTCTTCCTGTTTCCTTATGGTGCGACAATCAGGCAGCCATCCACATTTGTGCTAATCCCGTTTTCCATGCGCGCACCAAGCATCTTGATATCGATTGCCACATTGTTCGCAACCAGTTCAAGCTCGGATTTGTTCTTCCTCGTCATGTTTCCACTAATGATCAACTTGCTGATCTTTTCACCAAGTCTCTTCCAGCTCCTCAGTTTCGGTTTTTACTCTCCAACTTGGGCTTGATGGATTTCCATCAATGTCCCACTTGAGGGGGGGATATTGAAATTTATGTACTCAATGTTCACGTGTTACATTCTTCAGGACCTTTGTTGCAATTATTCTATTTGTCCTTACTTGTATCTGTTTCATAGTTTAGGACTTAGATGGGATATTAGCTTTCTCTTTCTGTTATGTTTGTTTCTTCAAGCCGTGTATATATCTTGGACGATGAGCTCATTTTCAGTTGAGAGTTTTGGAATAAAATTGAAATCTCTATTCTTCGAATCTCGATTTCTTCATAAAGTATTTATATATATCGGAGTTATAATCTCAAAACTCAATAATCAACCAAATGACATATTCCATTTTTCACACAATCATTAGAAGCAAAATAAAATTTCTATCACAGATTTCATAAAATAGATGTTATGTAAGAAGATAACGGTACAAAACACAAAATTCTTGTCTTGTCTTTAGAGAATTCAATCTCAAAATGGAAAGCCATCTGCAACTGTGACAGGACAATTTCCCTCAACGTAATGCAAATCGGGTTTCGTCATGAACTGAAATCAGAGAGGAAAAGAAAATTATTTCTCATCGTGGAGGAACACAGAACATTTTGGTCCAAGTCCAAGATGTTTAAGAAGTTGATCAACATACTGAAAAATTAAAATTATTCGAAATTGGATACAAAACAAGTTAAGACCAATTATTAATAATAAACAAATTCCAGTGGGAGCAGTTTCTCACACCGCCCCCAGTTTTAACTCCGCAAGTGGTTTACCCAATTGGTATAAACAAATCTATTCAATTGTCAAATTGAATGGAACACCGGCTACATTTGAACTACTCAATTAAAAAATTCTTACAAAATTAATAACGTGGTTCAGACAACCCGGCAAAACCCAATTTGAGTAATGCTACACTTACACACTTAGTTCACATTCACTTTTACATCCCTCTCACATATGGGGTGGGGCCATCAATTTTCAAAATCGAGGGCCCCACCCCCTATGTGAAAGTAAATGTGAATCATGGTGTGTATATTTAGCATTTTTGAAAGCGATATGAACTTGTTGCAGTAGCTCCTAGGATTAGACCGTAACCAGTCAATTTCGGTTCCTAGAGTACGCATGAAAGAAAAGCACGCCATTTTTGAACTTCATGTTGATACGAAAAGTATACACTATCTTTTCCTTGTCAGTTTCCCTATATATTGTAGGCTTCTGATATGCAACAGATTGCTCACTGAGAGAGAATCAAAGTTAGGATGGAAAAGCTCAGCACAATTTCAATGCTCTGTCTATTTATCTTAGCCATGTTAGGGGTCTTTGCCGATGCCCGTAAAGTAACCAAACTTCATTTTTATGTTCAAGACATATTAAGTGGCCCCAATCAAACTGTTTGGGAAGTGGCAAGATCCAATATCACTTCCACTTCGCCCACATTATTCGGCCTAGTTAGAGTCATTGATGAGCAAATGACAGCCAAGCCCGATGCCAATTCAACGATACTTGGACAGGTTCAGGGCCAAATTACTTTCGCAGACTTCAAAGAAGTAGCACCGCTTATGAACCTCAACGTTGTATTCAAGTCGGGCATTTACAATGGGAGCACAATTTGGTTGTTGGGAAGAAATCCAATATCCGAAACATATCGTGAATATGCCATTGTTGGCGGCACTGGTATTTTCCGAATTGCACAAGGGTATGCCATTACGAGTATTTATTCCAACGATACTGCCACGGGACATTTTGTTTTGGAATATACTCTTCATGTTGTTTATGAAGTATTCCGAAAATGATCTAAGCTCTCGAACAACATGTAACCATATTACATTCCTCTATTACCGAATAATAAAAATAAAAGGTTTTGCCATGGGATCGATGCAATGCCCCATCTCCCCATTCCTCTGTTTTTTTCTTCTTTAGGTTGTTATTGTCCAACGCTTGTATGCTATACATGCTTAGGATTTGTATATGTGAATGAGAAATATTTTTATGTGTTTGTTGAATTACCCCGAAAAAATTCAATTTCCAAATACGTGAACTTTGACTATTGGAATTTTGTCAAATGTCTCATAGAGTTGCAATAAGTGACAGAGTAGGTTGAGATTTGAGAAGATTACTAGAAGATGGAATAGTCACATCAAACTAGTTTCACAACCAAAAGAAGATAAACTGTGTCTAACAACAATCTCGATTCTCTTGTGCTTCGTTTGAATCGAGAAAATTTTGACTATTCGATTATTGTGATGAAATTATGTCTTGAAAACTCAAGAATTATGGAGTGTTGATGGAGTTCGACCACAAAATCAAATCATCTGAAGTACAAAGAGATTTCCAGAATAAAAAGAAACAAAAGGGTAAAAATACGCTCTTCGAAATTATCAAACAATTGTCATTCCAGTTTAAAAGAGGAGGATATTCAAGGAAACAATTTGTAAGAGGTGTGCAAAATTCACTATACTACTTACTCAGGTCAAGAGAAAGTGAACATTTGCAATCTTTGAGTGAGAAGTTGGAGAAGTAAGAATTCAGAATATTTTACATGTATGAGGATAAGATGGCACCAAGTGGAGAAATTTTGGCAACATCTTTTGACTATGACATTTTGGAAATTGAAAGGATGATTAGAGGCTCGTGAATATCGAATCAATCAAAGCAGTCGTCAATTTACATTTTCATATGATCAAGTTTTAAAGTCTGAATTTACAATTACTAGAGGGTGTGGCTCTCATCATAAACGTGGAAGATGTGTTGGACGAGGAAGAGGACGGAGGAAGACTTAATCAAAAGAACAAAGCCATATGTACCAAAATAAGTTTCACACACGTTTTACACACACTCACATGGGTGGGCCCCATGCTGGACCCATGGTAATAAAAAATTGCCAAAAAATCTCCCCCCCCCCCCACCCCCACCCCCACCCCCACCCAACCAATTGTGAGGCAGTGTGCTAAAAGGCGCCGTCTAGGCGCGCCTAGAGGCATGAGGCGAGGCCAAAACGCCAAGCCTAATGGGTTAGCGTCTTATTTGGTTGTCAACGTCAGTTGTTGATCGCTAATGCGCAACTAG